AACTGATTGTACCTAGCTTACTGAACCTCCACCCCCAAAAGAGGTCAGTAGGGTCAAAAGGGGTATTTCATCACAAGTACAGTACATACAGTATGTCGTTTGGAATAGGTTGGACCCAGGCCATTGCGCAATCCCGTCGATCAACATGTCCGTTTACATTTCAGAAGATCTGCATTGATCTTTCAATCTGGTACCGTGCTGTATTTGGTTACCACATTGACGTTCCATTGCTTCGTATGGGCCAGTTATTGGCTTTGCCAGTCGTTTCTTCTTTTAAATATAAACTGAACATTGCAGGTAAGATCTCTTCCGTAATATACTACGACTTTGAAAACCATTCTGCCACGTTACCTTTTTGATCCTTCGAGCAATAAAGTAACCCGACTCTGCAACTTTCTACCTCAATGTTGCCTCATTCAGATATGGAACTCCTGAAATATCTACTGCAAAAGTTGAAGACCATTGTGAAACCAGGAATAGCAGGAAGCATGGAGTTGGCCCGTTCGCTTCTGACAGGTAGTGATGTGGAAGATGATTTTGAATTCGAGGTGAGAACTGAGATTTTCACTTTCGTTGCTATATCGAGGAGAGCACTTAAGCTTGTGGGAGTGTTCCTAAATGGCAACTATCTCCCAAAGTAACCTAGCCATAGACTCGAAATTGGTACTGAGTTCGGATTGGGAATTCTAGAAGATACGGATATCTTTCAACACTGAGTGATCATTGGGAACTTCATTTAACCATTTCCGCTGAGTCGGCTGACATCAAAACATTGCTATGTACCCTTGTGGGAGCCTGTTTCACAAGAGCACGCCCTACCTTAAGCGAATAAGGCCAAACTACGCTAAGGTGCGTGGCTTGAGCTCATTGTCTTAAGGAGACTCAATAAGTTACTTAGCTAATGCGCAGGGGATCAAGGTCCACTGCGAAGTCTTCTATGTCATAGAAGTGAGTCTACCCTTTGCCAAAGAGTTCACTCCAGTCTGCACCTTTCCCCCTGCGCACTAACTTCAGTTGAACTAGATTTTGGTTTCCATTCCAACGATTAGATTTTCCGTCAAGGGTATTTGTGATCGCTGCTAGGGATTGGCCGACACTACGATGTGAAGGATTATCCGTGGAACTTTCCCATTCAGAGTAGCGCGGCTTAAGTGAGGACTTACCCATTCAAGCGCAATTAAAGAGAACGTTTTTTATTCTAACATTCTCAGCCGTTTCAGAAGGATCGACTGAGTGGGGCTGTGAGCCCGCCTTTATTTGGATTTTTTCTCAACGAAAATCCCCTTGTTTAGAGCGATGTTCACCATCACTCTTTGGTAACCAAGTTCGTCGAACTACGTGATGGCCGTCACTTCTGTGATGTGGCGCTGATCGCTGAGGTAGGCACCTAAATGTGATGATAGAGAGCACCCTAACGCCAGATTTTCCAGGGAATGCGAATCAACGCTCATCGAGTCGTTCTCGCTGCCTATTCAGATTACTTTAAGGCCATGTTCACCAGTGAAACGCCCGAATCTCGACAGCGTACATTCATAACTTGTGATGTGATGGGTCGCTAGAGAAGTTTTTTCAATTCTTTTCTTTTCAGTAGAAATAGAAATTTTCGACATCGAATGGGCAGCACTTGATGCTCTGGTCAATTTCTGCTATTGTGGCAAGGTAGAAACTGACGGCATAAATGTTCCGAGCATACTGCACGCGGCTTGCCTGCTTCAGTTGAGCGAAGTCCAGGTTAGGTCGTTGACGTCTACAGCAATTTACTGAGTTCAGGAGCCAAAGATTACGTACTAGCTTAATTAATAACTAGGAGGCCTGCTGTGAGTTCCTCGAGAGGCAGTTACGCCCGTCAAATTGCCTGGCAGTCCGAGAATTTGCCGATAGTCACTCCTGTCAAGAGCTTGTTCGTTGTGCTGATGAATACATCTTGAAGAACTTCCAGGTAGCCAGTTTCTGGTCTTAAGCTCGTCCTTCACGAATACTGTCTTTTCTTTCAGGATATCAATGGTACTGAGGAGTTTTATCGGCTTCCAGTACATCAGTTGGTTCAATTTATATCGAGTGAAGAGCTCGTTGTATGTTCTGAAGAGCAGGTAACGTGCCAGCCTTATTGAAACCTTAGGCTCCTTCTGGGTATTTTCTGCGTGTTATTTTCATCAAAGTATGTTACCGACGAGTGAGACTTCAGGTGTTCATAGCAATTCTTCATTGGGTTGAGTTTGATATATCTTCTCGGAAGCAGTTGCTACCGAAGGTAAAAGCCCGGATATTCTTCAGGTACTGAATTTTATTCAACGTTTGCAGTTGTTGGAGCACGTACGCTTTGCTCTTTGTCGGCCGGAGTTTCTCGTTAATTCAGTAAGTAAAAATGCGCTTGTGATGGCTGACTCCACCTGCCACAATCTCGTCGACCAAGCGAAGGTCTGGAAGTTTCGCTAGAAGGCTACTCTTGACAGTTTAGGTTTTTAGATTTGTCATGAGCAATATTCGCTACGATTCCAACTGAATCAAGTTTCAGAATGACCTTATTCTTCAATTTTCTACCCTTGAATGTTCGAATGTGAAAGAGAAGCGCACTCGAGCTTGTGGAGCGGCTGCTGAAGTAATCTATGTTGGTATGAGGCTTGACAAAAGTTTCGTGAATTTCTTTTGTCATATTGTCACGGGGGGAAGCTCTAACGGGGTTTTTTCTCTCCATAATGACTTCCATATTGGTTTTCTCTGGCTATATACCTCTGTAGAAAGTCAATGCTCTTGTTTTGAAATGAACAACTTCAGTGGGTGGAGGTGGCGAGAGGAGTGTTGAACGTTTGGATCTTAAAGATGCTCATCCTGAATGGCATTATGTTGCCCCTTTGCATCTGTTTGGGTACATCATTGTTTCAATATGTGCGTATCATCTCGAAATGGGCTGAATTCTCTAAGGTTCCATCGAAGCGTTACTGTTGTCCACGGGTTCATTTACGCTGTGCATGGCCTTGGTCCGTTCGAGTTTATGAACAACATTGAGAGGTACTTTTTTTAAATGAAAAGCGGAGCAGCTTTTACTGGAAGTTGTTTTTTATAGTATTACCTTTGAATCATTGCTAACTCAATGTCAGTTTGATTCCGCTGTTCACTAGAAATATGATTTTCAAAAATAATAAGTAGAAGTAAGGAATAAGAAAATAGCTAGCTTCTTGCTTCCGTCTCTCTTTCTCTCGCAGTTACCCCTTTTCCCCTAGTAAGGCGTATACCAATTTCAACTCCGGCGTTATCCTCAAATTTTCTTAGGTCGATGTATACTCTTTTTTTCTGTTTTCAAAAGACCAACGCCTCTCAGTTTGCTTTTGTGTTGTATGGCACAGCCTTAGGTGTATCAAATAAATAAATTATATAAATAAAATGAGAAATATAGAAGTTTCACTAGTCAGTTTTAGTTAATTTAGTTTTTTTTTTCAATGCATCTATTCAGATATGATCCTGCCACTGACCAGTGGATGTCTGACGTGGATCCCTGTCCCACTGGTCGATTATTGCTGGATGTAGCTGCTCTTGACGATCATTTTTATGCAATTGGCGGGTGTGTGGATTTCTCTGGTGAAAGCGTAGACATTGTTGAACGGTAAGGGCAGGTTCAGTCGATTCTCGTATATAATGAATTCCGTAACTTGTCGCTTCAGCTATGACGTTCGGCGAAATGAGTGGACTTCTGCTGCACCTATGGGTTCACGGCGAGCCCGTCTTACTGTCTCCGTATTAGATGGCTGCCTCTACGCAGTGGGAGGGGACAGTAATGGTGCTGTTCTCAATACCGTAGAGAGGTGGATCAGTTTCAACCTGTTGACACTGTACTGCTTTGAGCAGAGTTTCTCAGCATTTCAATATCTTCAATTGCTCTTGCGAAACAATTAGAAGAGGACTACACTGTTGAAACAATTTAAAAAAGGGCCAAAAATCATTGTCTTGTACGGTAATTCTAAAGTAGCTACATATACATGATGTCAATCAGCACTTTGAGTGGTTAAGGTTTCGGTAAACTATCCCTCACTGAAGTTGGAAATAGACTGTTATCCTCGAGAGCCTTTGAAAGGAACTCATTAAACACACAGTTCAGATCATGCAGGAGTACTGTACCTCCTCGATATTCAGAATCAGGAGAGGGGAACAATAGTACAGTTATCCGATGAATTGGCACTGATTATTTGGAAGCCGTCCATAGGAACTAATTTTTTTGCGCTTACAATGGTCCTGTGGGACCAAGAACAAATTTTAGAATGCATTCGAAAAGCCATGAAAACATCCACTCTCATGTCTCAGGTTGGACCCAAGAGTCGGTAGATGGGAAGAGGTTTGTCCCATGTTAGCAGCTCGAAATAGTCATGGTTCTGCAGTGCTCTCTGGCGAATTGTATGCAGCGGGTGGATTCAACGAACATTCAGAGCGGCTTAGCTCTTCTGAGAAGTACGACCCTCGGACTAATAAGTGGACTTCGGTGGCTGATATGAGCTGTGGCCGAGTCGGTGTAAGTCAGCTGTATTTCCTTAAACTCTCGTTATCTATTTTTGCCAATGCGAAATTGCGTTGTTTCCAGTTGGGACTGGCTGCAGTCAATGGAAAACTGTATGCTATAGATGGAAATGGTGATAAATCGGTTGAAGTTTTTGATCCTAAGACGAACCAGTGGGAACACCACAGTAACACGAACTGCGAGTTAGTCTGTTTCCACAATCATATGCCACTTTCAAGCTTTTCTCGTTAATATAAACTCTTTTAGCCGTTTCTATCCTGGTGTGGCTGTTCTACAGAAGTCATAGAAATCAAGAAAGGAAAATTCAAAGGTCGCGGCATCTTGTTCCTATCTTCGCATTTCCTATGGCCTCGATCGCTCAATATTACCGAAACCTTTTGAATCGTGGACATTTTTGTAATGTTTTACTGTAAATCATTATTTTCTCAGAAGATTAGAATAAATTTTATTTAGCATTTCAGTGGCTGATCTGTACTTCTGCTTCTCCTACTCAGCAAGAATTTTTCAGCTCTACTTCGGTCAGTGTTAATATTTTTTAAGTTGAGGGCCTGGAGAATGTGCTAGGAGGGATGCGAAAATTCAGGCTCCTTCAGACAGGTTCCAAATCTTCTTATGGAAAGGGGAGAGCGTTAATGAGAAAAGTAGCACTGTCTGCGGGCTCTTCAGGTGATGAGTTTTATCCCTTTCTTAATCGAGATTCTCAACCGAAGTTCCCAAGTCTGAATATCGAGAGAATGAGGAAGCATGTTGCCTGTGAAGCAAAAGCTTGGGTGTAAGTATCGAGAAGGTTTCCTTGTTGTCAAAAAACATTTTCGAGGCTCTATTCATGAGTTGTAGCGAAGCGGGTTCTTCTGAAAGGGGCTGTGCACCCGAGTGAAGGTTTTACAGAAGTTGAATCCGGTCGATGGAAGTTCCTACGTGCTGAGCTTGTCATACACCATCACCTTTGTATGTGTGTCAGCTCGCTTTTTAACTACAAATTTCCCTTAGAAGTAAAATGGGGTCGTTAGGGTCGAGCCAATTTTTTGCCTCAGCGCTCCCACTTATAATTTCTATGCGAAAGATCCGTATTTTCATGCCCTACCTTCAGTTTAGAGCATAACACTGAGCTTCAGTGGATATAGGTTGGCCTGAGCGAACCTATTACTCCAGCCGACTACTGTAATGTTGATGAGTGATTAAAACGTTGACATGTGCATTGATCAGTAAGGGCAGCATGGTCCTATTAAGGCGGAGCTGTGACTGCGATGCTGAGTGGCGACAGAAGGCTTACCGCGGACCTTCCAGTCAAGGCTTACTGAATCGCGTCCGCGCATTATGGTGAAGTAACGAACAGGCTGCTTTCATAGTCCGCCGGCGTGACAGCGAGCCGGCCGAGGTAGTGCTGGGGGAAGAGAGAGGGGGCGGAGGGGGGGGGGGGGGGGGGG